CAGCCAATTCTCAAAATGAAAGGAGTCAACGTCTCTGAGGCAAGCACTTCTGCGAATTTGTCTGAATGAAATCCTGCCGCCATCGCTTGTCGCGTTCCTGCCGATCATGCATTTGGTGGACATGCCGGGGATGGAATCATGATGTTAGCTGGACGCTAGGATACACTAGAGGCCTTTCGTTCACTGTTTCGGTCTCTTTGTTGATCTAGTCAGCGGCATGAGAGGCCTCTTTTACACAAGTCATTGAACAAACTTGTCACGAAGCTTATGAGGCTGTTCGGAATGGAGACCTCTCCGTTTTAATTATACTCAACTTGGGAATTGTCCACTTGATTTTGGTATTGTGCCCATCACTGCATGGAATTGGTCATACTCCTTCATGTCCACCTGGTCATCTTCTTTCCAACTCCAACCAGTCATTCCAACTGGGGACAAAACCCACCCAAGGGGCAGATCAAATCATTGCAGTATCACTGGACACAAGCCTAATATAGCTGTAACAGCGAGCACGATCTAGAGATATCTAGAGCACGATTTTTGGCACGAAGGAGAGCACCAAAAAGCACGATCTACGATTTTTGGCACGAGGGAAAGCACCAAAAAGCACGAGCACGAAAAGCACGATTTGTGGCACGAAGGAGAGCACCAAAAAGCACGATCTACGATTTTTGGCACGAGGGAAAGCACCAAAAAGCACGAGCACCAAAAAGCACGATTTTTGGCACGAAGGAGAGCACCAAAAAGCACGATCTAGAGCACGGTTTTTGGCACAAGGGAGAGCAACAAAAAGCACGATTTTTGGCACGAGGGACAACAACAAAAACCACGAATGTGTTCACGAAGGAGAGCACCAAAAAACACGATCCAGAGCACGATGTTTGGACAAAGGAGAGCAATGCACGAAGGAGAGCACCAAAAAGCACGATCTAGAGCACGGCTTTTGGCACGAGGGAAAGCACCGGAAAGATCCGAAAAGCACGATTTTGTGCACGAAGGAAAACACTCAAAACAACGTTCGCCCAAAATATAAAGAAATCATTTTTTTGACTGTTACAGCTATATATTAGGACAGACTCAAAGTATCACCAACACAACAGGTGGGCAATACGAAAACAACCAACAAAAAATTACCAGCAAACAAAGCAAAACAAAACAAAACAACAACAACAACCACAACCACAACCAACAACAACCAACAACAACCAACAACAACCAACAACAACCAACAACAACCAACAACAACCAACAACAACAACAACCACCACCACGACGACGACGACGACAACACAAACAATGTGTGTATGTTAATCGTTAACCTGATTCAACATCATTTCACAACCATGTTCCATGGGAGCTGTCTTTTTTTCACCTTCAGCTGTCCAGGGAACCAACAGGGGTTCCTCGGAGCAGGAGCGAATCTCAGCTCCGGGATTCACACGGACTTCCTCCGAGGCTCTTAAAAAACACCTTAGAAAAACACAGCAGAACTGGACAATGGTGTGGGACATCGGGAATGCATGGGACGTGTTCATTCTTTGTATGTAACATGATGTAACATTTAACCATCCATTTTTGGAAGTATACGTGTGTGTATATATACGTACGTACATATGTTTTTGAGCAAATCCCATATGGTGGGATGATCTGCGATGATCTGTCATGATCCGTCAAATCAGTTCATGATTCCAAGTAGGAAACCCTCGGATATACCTCTGGCCCAAGTAGAATATAATTGGATTTGACCCGATTACAAACCAATTGCTTTTGGCCCTGGACTGATTGAGATCTTCATAATGATCGTTGATTAACTGCTGATGCAGCTTGGATAGATCAAGAATTGGAGCAGCACAGGCCGCTCACCAGAACTGAGGCGGGTGACAACAAGCGAAAAAGTAATGCTTCAAAGTCTTCCGAACTTACGCCTCTCCGCAAGGTTGAGTCACTTTAGTCTGAATAAATCTTGGCCTGGAGAATGTCTCATTGTCAATCAGCTCTGAGACGCAGCGGCACCCAGCCTGGGTTGCTTCCCCGGTGCTTGTCGAACAGGGCCTGACAGCCACCCTACCCTTCGTGACACTCATAAGTGAACAGCTACCATTTTCAGAAGATGATGGGAAAACATCAACAAATGATGGATTGTCCAATTCCAGATTGGTAAATATGGGAGTATATGGGTAAATCAAGCCTGGAGGACTGATACAGCTCCCAGTCCTTATTCATGTTTTGCTGAATTCTGCAGCATTGGAATAGGGTCCAAATCCAATATGTAGGGATTCCTATAGAGGATTTAGACCATCTCGCCTGCATCTGTTTGTCTGCTGGCACGCTGATGTGAAGCTCCTGACTCAGAAGTTCCAGAAGCCCACAATTCTGCGTTGACCAGCGTTCTAGAGGCCAGCCCCAGCCGACACCCTGCTGGACGGAGCACGCAAGGTCCGAATTCATATAATATAGTGTAGGACAACAAAGTTGGATGGATATCCTAGTCTGAGGTAGGTGGTCTTGAAAGGCATATGGCATATGCGGCATATGTACATACATATATATAATATATAATACAACTTCTAAAACCTGACTGGCCTAGCCAAGGACCCGGCTGTCATTCAAATGGCAGTAGGCGGTGATCAAAGTCATCCAGCACGAGCTTGTTGTGTTTCATGATGGTTCAGGTTTTTTAAAGAAAGTGCTCAACAATTAAAAGACACTATATACATTTAGAGACACCCAGCAAACGGGGCAAATAATATCAGAAATTAAAAACACTCACAACCTCTTTGCAGCAACAAATACAGTATCTACTGCCTGAATTGGACTAAGGATGATCAATTCATGCACATTGACTGGGCAGGTGTCTTCCCTGAAAAATGAGATGACCTCCCAAAGTTCTGACAGTTCTTTTCACTGCCGTTCCATACATTGTTTCTGCTCCAACAAATGCTAGTGTTCATCCTCTCATGTTAGACCTATCGAAAGAAGCTTGACAAATCAATCAAGTTCTTCTGTATCAAGCACGAAGACATAGAATCTTGTGTAATGTAGATATCTATTCACCCCATGGTGTTATATGATGCATATAATATTGATAAATATTGTATGTATGTGACAAGTCTATAGACTGTATATTACTATACACCGCTTCACATCGCCAGCTCCACCAGATTCCACCAGTCCTGGAGCAGCTCCTTGAGAGCATGCTGGAAGTCCTTCAGATCATGGATGGTCCAAGATCAACAGCTTGGTAGCAACTTATCCCAAACATTATGTTTACACATATTGTGTATATATATATATATACATACACATATGCATGCATGTTGTATATGTATGTGTATCACATCATATTATATAAATATAATATACACATATCATATATATATATATAATATCGTGTGTTTATAATATATAGCGTATGTATATATATATTATATATTATATTAGTTCTATATGTATACATGTATGCATGCATTATTGTATATGTATATATTGTGTATATTGTTAAATATATATATATATATATTGTATTTATATATATATATATATTGTATTTACATATATATATATATATTATAGATATTGTATTTATATATATATATATTGTACTTATATTATTAATATATATATACATACATATTACATATTTTTCATGTTATAGTCACTATATATATAATATCCATATATATATATAGCATATGAGCTGTGTCCAAAAGGTCTTCTTCTTCTGAAGGCGCTAAGGGAATGCTTACGCAGCAGCTTACGCGCTGCTTACGCACCCGCAGTTTTTGCTTACGCCCAGGAATAGCTTACGCTGATGCTTACGCGGGCTTACGCACACCAGGGTTTTGCTTACCGAGGTCCTTAGTGCCACCAAAATGAATAAGGGGGTTTTGGACGTGGCTCATATGATCATCATCCAGACAGCAATGAAAAAACAGCTGACTAGTCAACCGTTTCTGGTCAAACACCGGCCACGTCTCCGGACTGATCCCTACAAGTACCTCGAAGCAAAGGCGGTTCCCAGCCAACAGGCTTCGACCTGGTACCTGGCAGGATCCAGTGCCAATGATGTTCCCAAATCTCAGCCACATTGGTTGGCTGAGAGAAATCACGTGAGACATCAAAGGTCAAAAAAACAGGCCCGGCGACGAAAACAAACGTTGATGAGATTGCCGCATGATTGTCGCATTTTCCATGCCAATCTTGCGACTCACCCTGCTCTGACACCTTGCTGAAAAGGCACTTTAAAGGGTCGTTCTGCATAGGCTCTCAGCTTGTCCTTGCTTCGCATCAATTCCACCTTGTGGCACGGACCTGACACCTCGGAGCCTGGACCAGGAACCTGGGAATGTGGCATCAAAAATGGCTACCCCAAGACTGGTTCATCATGGATGGTTCATGATGGTTCATGATGCTTCAATGCAAAAACTGCGTAACATCTGGTCCTACGGCAAGAAATAACTTTGTGACCACCAAACTTTCTGCTACAACTGCGAAGACACATGTTCAATACAGCAACCATCTTGGGATGAAACACAATACACAATACACAGTAAATTTATGTAAATTTCAAACAAATTCAATAGTTTCGGAACATCTTTGGACTTCGCCGTCTTTGTCCCCGGGGAAATATCTTGAGCTTCCTGCCAAATCTCTTTGCGCCTTCTCTGTGAAGTTCAGCCGGGATCCTGGGACGGCTTGGGAGACTTTTGGCCTGGAGTGTCATATCTCCAGTGTCATATCTCCCAGATATATCCTGTTGTCAATTCCAGTGTTGTATCATGTTGTATCCAAATATCAATTATTATCAATTCATCTTCAGCATGCGTAAAGTGGCGTACATAGCAACATTGTCATGTTGCAATACAATTTCCAACCCGTTAAATCGAGAAGTGTGCAAGTGACCTCATATGTTCGCTTTCCCTGTAGACGTCCTGTCTGTTTCCACAAATGTGGACAGCTACGTTCACAGTTGTTCTATTGATCAAAATGTGTATGTGCATGTGCAAAAATGTGGCATACGGCCAAAACCCCCAGCTACCAAGATGGACAGTGCTGGTGATTTCTGCTCGGTGCCCCCATTTTTGGACAAACCACTGAGGGTCATTCACCTGAACCGCTCCTACCTGGAGACTTCTCGGAACCAGCGGAAAGACTTGATCTTGACCTCAGTCATGCGCTTTCAATATGGAGGCAACTAGAGGTCGACTTTTCTCCTATGTTCTGCTTCACCTGCAGATGCTCCTTGGAAATCTCTGAGAGACCTCAAATAGGCAAAGAACACACAAACAACCCAACCAACTCACCCAACTCAACCAGCCCATATTCTCATACTTCCCATTACCAGTCTTCCTCAAAAACAGGCGTGTCTCAAAACCTGAGACCCCAAACCGGGCTGGACGTGGAGCATTGGGGCTGGCCCGGGCAGTGGAGCAAGAAGCCGGACTGGCTCCTGGTGCCCAACCCATCCCCTGGGAATGGGGTGATCGATCGCGGTGGGGTGAAGATGGCATACTAATAATGGTTTGATACTGCAGAAATCTAGGAACATCATTGAATGTACTGACATGTACTGCATGATGGTGATAGGATGTGATAGGATCCAAAAGCCTTCAGTGCAGAGCTATTTAAAAACTAGACGACGGATGGCCCGAGAGCGTAGAGGAGCAGAGTCTTCTGTTGTTAGTATGGAAACACTATATTAGAAGGCAATATATTAAAGATATTTAAAGATGTATAATAGGCAGACGAGAAGAGTAGTATCAAGACAATATATCACAAACACAAGACAATAGTTTGCATCGTATCTTTCGTATAGTTTCTTCACGCACAGAACTTTTCACAGACAGACGTTTTTGCACACAGATACTTTTACACACAGACGCTTTTACACAAAGAAGTTTGTACACACAGACGTTTTTACACACAAACGCCTTTACACACAGACGCTTTTACACACACATGCATTTACACACAGGCGCGTTTACACACAGCAGTTTTTACACCAAGAAGCTTGTACACACAGAAGCTTTTACAGACAGACGCTTTTACACACAGGCCCTTTTAAACAAAGAAGCTTTCACACACAGCAAGAAGCATAGACATAGAGAAGCTTTTACATTTTACACCCACGCAGACCTTTTTACACATTCATAGAGACTTTTACACACACACACAGAGGCTTTTACACACAGACGCTTTTACACACAGACGCTTTTACAGACAGACGCTTTCACACACAAACGCTTTTACACACAGACGCTTTTACACACAGAGGCTTTTACACACAGACTTTTACACACAGACTCTTTTACACACAGACGCTTTTACACACAGACGCTTTTACACACAGAGGCTTTTACATACAGACGCTTTTACACACAGACACTTTTACACACAGACACTTTGACACACGGACGCTTGTACACACAGAAGCTTTTACGCACAGACGCTTTTACACACAGACGCTTTTACACAGAGACGCTTTTCAATTTCTCACAGAAGCTTTTACACACAGACGCTTTTACACACAGACGCTTTTACACACAGAAGCTTTTACACACAGAAGCTTTTACACACAGACGCTTTTACAAACAGACGCTTTTACACACAGACACTTTTACACACAGAGACTTTTACACACAGAGACTTTTACACAGGGACGCTTTTACACAGAGACGCTTTTACACACAGACACTCTTACACACAGACGCTTTTACACAAAGAAGTTTGTACACACAGACGTTTTTACACACAAACGCCTTTACACACAGACGCGTTTACACACAGACACTTTTACACACAGACGCTTTTACACACAGAGGCTTTTACACACAGACACTTTTACACACAGAAGCTTTTACACACAGACGCTTTTACACACAGACGCTTTTCCACACAGATGCTTTTACACACAGAAGCTTTTACACACAGACGCTTTTACACACAGACGCTTTTACACACAGAAGCTTTTACACACAGAAGCTTTTACACACAGAAGCTTTTACACACAGAAGCTTTTACACACAGAAGCTTTTACACACAGACGCTTTTACACACAGAAGCTTTTACACACGGACACTTTTACACAGTTGCGACGGGAACCCGGAAATCGCAATTTTACCTCAGGTTTTGGCGATCGAACCTCATTTCGTGTGAAAGGGTTGCGCGGGACAACTTGCAATCGCAATTTTACCGCAGTTTTTGGCGATCGAACCTCATTTCGTGCGAAAGGGTTGCGCCGGACGGCTTGCAATCGCAATTTTACCTCAGGTTTTGGCGATCGAACCTCATTTCGTGTGAAAGGGTTGCGCGGGACAACTTGCAATCGCAATTTTACCGCAGTTTTTGGCGATCAAACCTCATTTCGTGTGAAAGGGTTGCGCGGGACAACTTGCAATCGCAATTTTACCGCATTTTTTGGCGATCAAACCTCATTTAGTGCGAAAGGGTGGCGTTTCGTGCCGTCTCGTTGGCACTGCCCCGCGCCTTCAAGAGAGAAAGAGAAAAGAAGGAGAGAGCAAGAGGGCTAGAGAGCAAGAGGGCAAGAGAGAATGTGAAGATGTGAAGATGAGAAGATGTGAAGATGTGAGGATGTGAAGATGTGAAGATGAGCAGATGTGAAGATGAGAAGATGTGAAGATGTGAGGATGTGAGGATGAGAAGATGTGAAGATGAGCAGATGTGAAGATGAGAAGATGTGAAGGTTGAGGATGTGAAGATGAGAAGATGTGAAGATGTGAGGATGTGAAGATGTGAAGATGTGCGGATGTGAGGATGAGAAGATATGAAGATGAGAAGATGTGAAGATGAGAAGATGTGAGGATGAGAAGATGTGAAGATGAGCAGATGTGAAGATGGGAAGATGTGAAGATGTGAGGATGTGAGGATGAGAAGATGTGAAGATGTGAGGATGTGAAGATGTGAAGATGAGAAGATGTGAAGATGAGAATATGTGAGGATGAGAAGATATGAAGATGAGAAGATGTGAAGATGAGAAGATGTGAGGATGAGAAGATGTGAAGATGAGCAGATGTGAAGATGGGAAGATGTGAAGATGTGAGGATGTGAGGATGAGAAGATGTGAAGATGTGAGGATGTGAAGATGTGAAGATGAGAAGATGTGAAGATGAGAATATGTGAGGATGAGAAGATGTGAAGATGAGCAGATGTGAAGATGAGAAGATGTAAAGATGAGCAGATGTGAAGATGAGAAGATGTGAAGATTGAGGATGTGAAGATGAGAAGATGTAAAGATGTGAGGATGTGAAGATGTGAAGATGTGAGGATGTGAGGATGAGAAGATGTGAAGATGAGAAGATGTGAAGATGAGAAGATGTTTTACAGACCCCCACTATTGGAAGAACCCTGCGCTCAGACGCTCTCGGGAAAAACATCTGAAGTTGACTGGTGTTGCACTGCTCGGGAACTTGTCGTGGATCCACCATAACCATAACCCATCCATGCATCGCCGGACAAAAACGGGACAACTCCCGCAGTCGCTCCTGATATTTGAGAATGTCTAGCGCTGTCCAGATCCGCCTCAATGAGAGAGATCAATGCCAGGAATAGTCAAAAAAACAACAATGATTAAGTTGTGAAAGAATAATTAGAAGAATCATGAAGAATCATATTCAGTATGTAATTCGAGAATGTAAAGATGATGGGAAAGCATGATATGCAAGGGCTTTCGTGCCTTGAAGCGGTTTGTGCCCGTGGAGGGTGTGCCACTTGCCTGGACAGGTCTCGCTGGAGCGGCGTACCATGAGGCACTCTTCTGAAACATGTCATGGAACCCAAACTTGAAGGGAAAATCGATTGGGAATGAGAAAACATGCATTGGGATTGGAATCGATTGTTTGATTCCATTGAATTCCATGTAAGGTGTCTAATCTTGGTCATCGGTACATGTTCCAGGAGGTCTGGATTCTTTTTGGGGATCTTGGTACATGATGTATTAACAGAATGATTGCTGGGAATAATTCCCCCAAATCAGTATTTAGATTATATTTGTTGGGGATGTCATCATCATATATAGTGGGTATCCTTAATTTGTTTACTCTCCATTTGAGCGGTGATATTTCCATTAAACCCTGTTTGCGCTTGTTCTTGGTAATTGAGGGTCAAAACCTATCATTTATCAGAATTTACCATTTGTAGGGGATGAACATCCATGGGCTATTTCGGTGTTCACCAGGGGATATTTCGACATATTGCGTAAACGGGCCGCGTTTCATGCTGCAGCCTGTGGTCCGCTCGGCGTCAAGGCGGCTTGCCCCAAAGGAGCTGGTCTTCGCTCCTGCGATGCACTACAGCGTGAAGAATGTTGATTGATACAACAGATAGAATTGAAATATCATAAACATCTGTTTCTTAATGTACGTATAGTCTATACAAGTATGTATGTATGTATGTATGTATATTATATATATATATTACACTAAATAGTCGGTGAAATATAGTTATGTATAATGAATTATCATGAATCATCATTATATATGAGGTATGATGTAAGATACATTATATATGAATATATATATATATGATATATGATCCGCGTGATTCTGCGTGTGTCTGTGTGCGCCCCACTGCCATTCCCAGCTCCTCGAGCAAACTCCTCACCGCTGGACTTGGACTCGAGACTCGCGGCGCAGATCCTGGGGAAACATCAGCTGGGTGGAAGTTCAAGCTGCTGGTTGAACGGTTGACGAACGATTGATAATCGGTTGATGAACGATTGATGAATCATATTGTGTGATAAAGAAAATACAATATGACAATATCTCACCACAAATTGATACAGGTTGTCTGCCACTGGCAATATATGGAGGTTTCTTAAAATGTTGGTACCCTCAAATCATCCAGTATCTATCCCATCTGTGCAGAGTCCTCCACAAGGAATGGGACTCCTCTGCCCGGCCTGGGTACCAATGGTGGGGCTTACCAAAAAGGGAAGACTTCCAACATGACACGTACCCTTCGATAATCAAACACAGGCAATGGGAAATCCCATTTTAATCGGAGTAAATAGAGGTGTTAAATGGTTTTAAATAGTGTTCATGGGAAAATGGTCAATCAACAGGGGATTTTCCAGCCAGATTTGATTGCCAGATATCTTGAAACGGCCTATGTCCGGCCCTTTTTTGAATCGACCCCTCTGGATTTGATCGAGAAATCTGTATCATGAGCTATCAGCTATCATTGATTCATGGAAATATGGAACCAGCAAAGGATGGAAACCCTTGGAATCAAGAATATACCTTGGCGGTTTCACAAGCTTGAGCACAGCATAGGCATAACCTTATGGAATTCCTGAGATTCCTTGACAGCATTTGACTGCCAGGGACTGAAGATGTTCAAAGAGAACAAGTTGTCATATCGGCTACTATATCCATATTATATAATATGTTTGGGAGGTTTTGGAAGTATTACCCCGGATTCTGTTTTCTATTATATTCATTGGTACAAGAGCTGAGTCTATCTAGCTATTTACAAGGTTAAGGAGCGCCTGCTACCTAAGTATGTATATATATAATATACTCATTATGTATATATGTATAATATACTCATTATATATATACAGTATATATGTATATATACACCTATTATATAAATTCTTCGGATCTCGTCAACATTCTGAAAATTGTTGTCAATATTCAGCGGGGCTTAGTCCAAATGAAGACACACTTATTCGAAATAGAGATATTCTAAATGATCACAAATAAACTTGAGAAAACAAACGACGGGGAAAATGGTAGTCGAAACATGTCGGAACGGAAAAATAAAGTCACCATTCATTTACAGAGTCTTTTGATGTCTTTATACACTAGGAAAACAGTGGTGTGCTGCCAGTGAAAAAGGCAGCTGTTAGATGTCTTGAAAAAGAATGATAAATAGAGTAGAGGAACTCCAGTGGTTCCCCCTTCTTTAAATGGCCATATCATGCCTGTATTGATTTCATTTGATTTCGCCTCAAAAAAAAGGCCCCGGGGGTAAACCTGGTTTGCCAAGCAGCCCGTGAAGGAAAGGCCAAGCACCCTAAACGCCTGAGACCAGGGAAAGGACAACTTGATCAGTCTATGGGTCAATAAAAAATCATCACAAATCAATACACATCAACGCAAGTCAATCAAAATATATCAAAATGATGTCATCAATATGATAGAAGTCGTTTTACCTTCCTCGCCTCTGATCGGATGCTGATGCCGTGATGTTGACTTTGGAAAGAGAATGAGCAAGAATCACAAAAGCAGTATATATAACTCGTCATAACTCCTCATGACTCATCAACATGCAAAGAATCTTCTTCTTCATCACCCTCGTCATTCAATCTGCTTTCATGGAAGCTGCCAATCGATCTACCGAGGCAGCCTGGCAGCAGGAGACCGCAAGTTGGCAGCAGAGCCAGGCGATTCAGAGTACGAGGAACCCTGTCCTTGAGTCAAGCGGACAGCTCTCAAGATGCACAGAATGAAAATATCAATATGACATCAGGATGGTCCAGGAATGTCCAGGATGGTTTTAACATGTTTTAACCTGACGCATGTGAGGGTGTCAGAGGTCATCTTCTAAATGGTTGAAGTTTGATATGAAAGTCCTCAGGCCTCTCGAATGGATTCTGTTATCTAAAGCCTGTGAAGAAATGGCTATGGCCATGAGCGATGGGCCGTTGCAGAGGATATACTGTGTCTTGCTGACTATTGTATCCTTCTTAACACAGCATATTGAGCTTCTGGCTGACAATCTGAAGATGTTCAGGCAGTGACTGGGCCTCAGTCACCGCTTGTCAAGAAAAGAAAATCATCAGTGTATGAACCAAATCATCGAAATTCTGGACCCACCGCTAAAAAATTAAACAGAACACAGGGTTGCAACTCGCACGAGTTAAAGTGCTGACTCCGCCCTCATGGCATGTCTGAAGGCCAGCAACAGGCCAGCAATCGGCCAGCAACAGAGCTACCTGGGCTCCCCTTCTGTTGAACGGGAGGGTGAGGTCAGCGGCTGGACAGAGGCCCAAATGGTACCAACCTCATGCGGCCAATGAGTGCCCAGACTCTTTGATTTCTGTATTGAAACACATTGAAACACTAAAACAATAAGTTTCATGTTAAAACAATGGACCATTTCTATTCTGGGATCCCCCAATTTCGGACACCGAACAGCTCGCCGCAGTTTAGTCACTGCTGACCGAGGAAATCACAGTGGATCTCATATGCAGCCAACATCAGCCAACTACTAACGTCAACAAATGCAGCCAACCTTCCAACCAGCGGGGCATCCCGGCAAGCATCTCTTGTCGGATTAAGGCCAAAGAGCTTTGCTGGCCTGGATCCGACCAAGTCGTACATCCAAAGTTTCTCCAGGGGGGACACCATAATCGGGAGAAATGGGATGGATAATGTAGATACAACGAGAAATATACTCAAAAATGTGGTAGTGTAGATTGTTTGTTTCATGTTTTTTCAAAATAATCGGAGATGTCATTGAGATGTCCTATTGATCCCACTCAATCGGCCTGTCCAACTTTACCCGCAGGCAAATTGGTGGCCCCGCTCAATGAGACAATGAAGTGGTCATTTTTGTCGTTCCCATTTTTTCATTTTTTCAGCTTGCCCATCTGATCATTGCCTTCTTGCTGCTGGCACACCCACGCCTCTCACGCTTGATATCGCTTGATCATGCTTGATCCACATTGTGGCAGTATGACATGCATGACAAGCATGACAAGCATGACAAGCATGACAAGCATGACATGGAACCATAAAAATGGATGTTTGGGATACCTTGCTCCACCCATAACCGCACTACATGCAACACATCTGACCAGCATCCACCTGCAAATCTACTTGTGACTCACCCACAACGTTCGGATCCTGCCAATGCCACGTCCAAGTGAACAGTGGGAAGGACGCAAGTACCCATATGATTTCAGAGTTGTTTTCTTGCCACTTAGAAACCATTCAGATCGTCTCAATGATAGATTGACAATGAATAAATCTGCAGAAAATTAGATACCTTGGAGGCCTTAGCGGCAGTCCACCAGTCCAAATCATGCACCACTGTTCCCGTGTCCCTGTCCATGACACGAAAGATCAGCACGTGGCCGGTGCCCATCACTGGAAAACGATCCTGAAACACTGGCTGCGAGCACTGTCTCGACATCTTATCTTTTCCTCTGACAAACCCAATCCTTTCAGCAGTCCCACCTTTGAGTTATCACATCATATGAATCAACCCTGTCCTGATTTGAAGCTGGTAAACAAAAAAATAGCAGTGATTAAGAGGCAATACTTGAAAAACCATTGTCAACTAGATCCATACTGGCTTGTCATCGCTATCACCAACAATGCGAGGTGAATCGTGCTTCATTTGGAGAAGATCGACTCATTAGTGAATCATTAGTGCTTTCAATTCCCGTGGACAATGCTGATCACTGGGAGAATCTTCACACATGTGCATGACAAAAACCACTCTGAAGTGGAGAGTTGACTTGATCACAACGACATGGGAATCAGAAACGTTAGCATTCAGGGCAGGGCTTGGTACCAGGGCTTGGTACCAGGACTTGGTACCAATATGTACCAATTCGTTTTTTTCATGTTTTTTCTGGTTCTGGGGATGCATCTTTGATTCACCGGCACTGCAGTCCTCCCAGCGTGGTCGGGCTCTTGAACCTGGTTCAACTGCACCTGAATTGGCTCGGCCATCTTTGCTGCACGATGTGACTGTGTTATCAAAATATAACAAATTAGAAGGAATTTTCTGTCTTTCTTTGAACCGATTGACTTTGAAGGTGGTGATGATGGTGATGATGATGATGATGAGGATGAGGATGAGGATGAGGATGATGAGGATGATGATGATGATGAGGAGAATGAGGATGAGGATGAGGATGATGAGGATGATGATGATGATGATGAGGAGGAGGAGGAGGGCGACACTGAGTTGAAATGAGAGATCATTGGAACGCAATCACAGGGTCGGGAGTGAGTAAACTGGTGGGTTCTGAGCATGCTTCAAAGTCTCCAGTAAATTCCTGGCCGCCAAGGTGCATGGCTGCGTTCGACCTGCAGGATTTTATGCAGGATTTTGGAGGGATCCAACACAAGTTGCTAGCAGAAGCAGAAAAAAACAGCAGTGGTAGAAGTTCTGAAGTTTCCACGCGCTCAAATCATATAGATGTCAAGATCAATTGAAAAGCAAGGAGGCGAAGCAGCCATGTCTTGAGCATGTTTGAGCGCTGCTTCGACCAGCCTACAACAAAGCCATCCAGTTCGACCTGGCAGATGTCGCCAGCTGGGCAACGGCTTCTAATCATCATGAACCAGGTATCATGACAATTGTTTCACGTAAATGCAAACAGCAAAGACAAAGCTCCCCGTGGCAAGTGGGATGCATCGCCACCTCAACCGATACTGCCAGGCCGTTCTCAGACACCGAGAGATCAGCACTATGGCAACACACCTGGCTATGTTTTGAGAGGAACCATGGGCTCCGGTTTGGGGCATGTCCAGCATATTCCAACATATTCCAACATATTCCAACATATTCCAACATATTCCAACATATTCCAACATATTCCAACATGCCTACAGACCGGCAAAGATGAGATGAAGTCTAGGCGCCCTTTTCTGTGGCCCATTGGCAGCTGCGCCTCGATCATGCTGCAAAGGGAGACCTGTTGGCGTCCATGCAGACCTGCAATCTGCAGAGCATGGCCAGACTTCTTGTTCCATCTCGCAATAACCAAAAAAAACATCATGTTCACCACACAACCAAGAAACAAATATCATCTTGACTACGTTGACGTTGACTACATCGATTCCATCATCAACTCCTGAATTCCTAAATCTTCTACTTGAATCTAATTAATACGTGTTTGCCCTTTGGCCGTCGTTTTGTATGTTTTTGCAGTGTTCATCCCCAAGCCAAGCATGCAATGTTTTGTCCAGGAGCGCTGTAGTGCTTGGATCGGTCGGATCGGTGCAGATTTTCCTAAGTTAAAAGCTGTTCGGAGAAATGTAACTCAAAATATGTTTGATTGGCCTCAGCTTACAAAATGTGCTGCTTATGCCTTAGCATCCTCAGCGGCCATGTGCTTGATGAGGTCGACCACTCGGGAGCTGTAGCCCCACTCATTGTCATACCAGCACACCACCTTCACAAAGGTTGGGTCCAACATGATGCCGGCCTTGGCATCAAAGGTGCAGGAGATGGGGCAAGTCTCAAAGTCCGTGGACACCAATGCCTCGTCGGTGTAGCCAAGGAAGCCCTTCATGTCACCCTCGGATCGCTTCTTCATCTCAGCGCAAATCTCCTCATAGGTGGTCTCCTTCTCCAACTCAACAGTGAGATCCACAACGGACACATCGATGGTTGGCACACGCAGGGCCATGCCTGTCAACTTGCCCTTCACTTCTGGGATCACCTTTGCGACAGCCTTGGCTGCGCCCGTCGAGGAAGGAATGATATTTCCAGGACCAGCACGGCCACCACGCCAGTCCTTCTTGGAGGTGCCATCCACGGTTGGCTGAGATGCAGTCATGGCGTGGCAGGTGGTCATCAAACCACGCTTGATGCCCCACTTCTCCTGCAGAACACGCACCGCAGGGGCCAGGCCGTTGGTGGTGCAGGAGGCACAAGAAACGCACTCCATGGATGGATCATAGGTGTCCTCGTTCACGCCCATCACGATGGTGTGGGAATCATCCTTGGCAGGGGCAGAGAAGATGACCTTCTTGGCACCCGCCTTCAGGTGGCCCTGGACCTTCTCGGTGGTCAGGAAGACACCGGTGGATTCGCAAACGTATTCGGCCCCATGCTCTCCGAAGGGGATCTCGGCAGGGTCACGGGTGTGGGACAAGGCGATCTTCTGACCATCCACCACCAAAGAATCACCATCAGCCTCAACGGTTCCATCATACTTGCCGTGAATAGTATCATATTTCATCATGTAGGCCAAGTAATCGGAGTCGTAGCTAGCATTGATCAACTTCAAGTCAGTCTCAGGATCCTTCATGGCAATGCGTGCCACCTGACGTCCAATGCGCCCGAAGCCGTTGATGCCAACGCCCACCGCCTGCAGGGAGGTGCGCTTGGAGCGCTGACCGGCCATGCCAGCAGCTGCCAGGCCAGCCACGGCACCCACCCCAGCCAGGGCTCCCATGGAGGTGGAGCTGCTGGAGCTGTTGCTGTTGGAGTAGCCCTGGCCACGCAGGTTGCTGACCCGGGCCTCAGGGGCCACGGGGGCCACAAAGGCTCCACTCAAGGCGCTGCTTGCGGCAGCTCCGGCAAAGAGCATGGCCACGTTCTCCATGGTGGAAGGCATGGTTGTCTTGACTTAAACCACAAGCAGCAAAAAACTGAGCCAGAGCAAATCGCTGCAAGGAAGCAAACTTGAACTATGCAAGGGTAACGGAAGCAATGTCAGAGATCACAAGACTTCTTGACATATTATGGATACGCAAACAGCCATTACCGGCAGCAACTGTAAACAGCAATGCCTGCGGAGAATGCCCAGATGGCGCATCCGGGTACAGTTGCGTCTTCTTTGGGGGTCTCACTCCGTGGTTTTCCCCCGTACGGTTGCGCTAGATGCTGTTTTGTGGCCCACAGGGCAGGGTGGTTGTTTGTTGGGTGTCTGGAATGGTTCTGCAGCAGCACTTGATCGGAGCCAACTAATGCTAGATGAGTGACGAGAGCTGTTAGAGGACATAGCTGTGTTTTCCATGTTTTTCCATGTCTTGTTTGCACGCTTTTTTTTTAAACGTTCTCAATCTTTCTCAAGTATGTCCATGTCAGACTAGATAATTTGCCCGCAGCATTTATATTGGCCATAACATATTTGTGAACTGCAACGCTGATCAATGACCACTAAAATTACGCTGACCTCTTGAGACGTGAAATCAAGCCAGCGGCAACATGTAACAAACAGGCTGCAACGTCAATGTCATGGAACTATACTTGCAGTAGAGTGCTTTGTTAACACGACCTGCAACGGTTCCCTACCCCACTGGAGTAGGAAGTCTACCGCAGCAATTTGCAGGATGAGAAATGCCACTGATCAGCAACATCCTTTTGTCGCCCAAGTCCCCTCATCTGAGCAACTGTCCGGCACTTCCATGTTCATCCATGGAATTGCCACTTTTCCAGTGAATGACATGCCGACATGCTGTTGCTGGATCCAAGACATTGGTGTTTCTCTCAATCAATGCTTGTCGGGGATTCTTCCACCGGATTTGACAGAGAAACCTACCAGATTTTTGTGTGGCACGAACACTTTGGGCCTACAGCATCCAGAGCGGCTCATGCAATTCGACCCCAAAGTGGCGCGAGACCAGTGCAACCTGGTGAGTCAGCCAATGGCAGCAAGCGAGGTAGGGGAATGTGACGAAATGTTCGGGATGCAACAGTGAAACAGAGCATGTTGAGACTTTGGATAGTGACGATTTGTCCAGACAACTTCCAATTCGTTAACAACCGCTGATGCATCTTCGGATCTGTGTTTGATCTGGGTTTGGACTCTAGACTTTACAACTCTGCGATGCCCTTGTCCTGTGAATTAAGGAATGTCCGCCACGCGAACCTCCCTACTTGAGGCACATACCTCCATCCACCGGCATCCTGACAGCAAATTCGCGGGGAAACTGGGGAGAACCCATGGGTTTGCCGGGCACTAAATTTTGGGACCCCAATGGTTCTTGTTAAGTTTGAGCTTCTGAGAGGATGTCCAATGAAACTACTATCGTTCTCCCATCATCCCGGCCGAGACCCCAAACGCTTCAGGGCCATCATCCCGCAACCCTTTGTGGCTGATGCGGTAGGCACAGCTACATGCAGCCTGCAGGGACGAGGAGGGGATGGAATGAGATGGATATGTATTAAGTGTATATTATATATATAATATATTGTATGTATATTATTATATATTTACACATTAATGATATCATATTATATTGTAATATCTTACATTATATCATATTATGTTATGTTGTATTAAATTATTTTATACTTATATTTTATTATATTATATAATAATTATATTATATTATATTATATTATATATTATATTATACTATACTATATTATATTATATTATATATTATATAATATTATGCTATATTATATTGTGTTTTATATTATATTATATTAAATATTATATTATTTTATATATCATAGTATATGATATTAAATATTACTTTAAATTATACTATGTTATCTCTTTTATTATAATTATATTTATTATATTGTAATTATAAATTATATTATATTATATTATACTATACTATATTATATTATATATTATATTATATTATATTATATTATATTATCTTATATTATATTATATTATAATTATACTTTATTATATTGTAATTATATTTTATTATATTATATTATATTGTAATTATATTTTATTATATTATATTGTATATTTGATTACATTATATATTTTCTTATATTATATTATATTTTATCATATCATATTATATTGCATTATATTATATTCTATTATATTCTATTCTATTCTATTATATATATATATTCGTCAAGTTATGTATACTATTCATGATATATATATATATACAAATATTCGTTAAGTTATTGAAATTATATATATATATTATGTTTAAGATCTTATATACCAATACCTTTGTTAATCTTCCCAATTGAATGTAAAGTTTAACGGGGGTGCATATTCCCCAATACCTTTGTTAATCTTCCCAATTGAATGTAAAGTTTCACGGGGGTGGGACTTGTATATTTCCTAATACCTTTGTCAGTCTTCCCAATTAAATGTAAAGTTTCACGGGGGTGGGACTTTTATATTCCCTAATACCTTGTTATTGTTTATCTTCCAATTGAATGTAGAGTTTAACGGGGGTGGGACTTTTATATTCCTTAATACCTTTGTTAATCTTTCCAATTGAATGTAAAGTTTAAGTGGGGGTGGGACTTTTATATTCCCTAATACCTTTGTTGATCTTCCCATTTTATATTCCCTACTACCCTTATTGCTCATCCCAAGTCAAGCAGGGTGTGGGCGAAACGGGTTTTTTGTGCGTAATACTACCATTATTTATTATATTATATCATAATAAAGGAGCACAGCTGCTTTGCAGCCTATTGACACAGCATGGCACAGCTCTTCAGCTGCTTCGAAAAAAATAATGCCTCAGCGATGCCGCGCCTTCTCAACTGATTTGGTCAAAGTTGCACGGCCCAAACCGGGTTGTTGCCAGCAGGCCCTGCGCGTTGCGAAGTCTGGGCTGATCATTTCGAAAGGCCACATAAATGATCCGAAATGTCCACTTCGACTTGTATGTAATCTGAAACCATTGCAAATTCTGAATCTCTTGCAAATGATTTTGCGGTCGTCTAGACAGCGTGTAATTGGTCCCTCTCCCGAAGAGTTGCACCAACTTCAAACAATCAACAGGTTTAAAATTGCCAAAAGAGAAAGAGTTGCCGACAAAACGTTTAACTTGCCAAACACCAGTATCATATCATCCATTATCGATTTGGGGCTTGACGTTAAGAAACGTTAAGAAATTTAACTTTAACCTTCGAAGCTCCCCTGAGAGCGTCACATCTTCTCGAGACGCAGCTGTGTGCTTGCTTGATGCGCCCAAGTCTGGCATCAGATTTTAGGTTTGCCCATTTTAATGGAGGACACACTATTTAGGTCACTTCAATGGGAAAATGAGGTTTTAAACATTTTTAAACCACCAAATCAGTTGTTTCCCCTATTTTCCTTTTTTTCGGACAAAACCAACATGAATTACAGACTCAGAACTTTTTCATGGTGAGATTTCTCCTTGACTGATCGTTGCGTTGCCTCTCCAAGAGCGGGTGCCAGCCAGGTATCTTCGCGGCCGAACCTGCGGACGAGGGGTGCTGCACATCCCGGTTTAAAAACCAACCAGAGCCAATCACCTTGTGTCTCCTATATACAGCATATCCATCACACTAGATCATAATGACTGATCATAAATATTCACAAATCAACATAACATATCATAGTTATACCAGATCTTCCATGCAAGTATGTTCACAAATCGCATAGCATTTCTTCCCCTAGTTACGAAAAACTTGTTCAAAATCGAAACTGCAGACCATCCTGCTTCCCCGGAGCCCGGCCCCTGCACCTTGTGGTCATGTGATTGGTGACCTACCAGCAAAAACCCTGGGGTTCGACCCATTGTGCAGCCTTGTGTGTGTGTCTCTGTGTCTGTGTCTCTGTGTCTGTGTCTCCGTCTGTGTCTCTGTCTGTGTCTCTGTCTGTGTCTCTGTGTCTCTGTGTGTCTCTGTCTGTGTGTCTCTGTCTCTGTGTCTCTGTGTCTCTGTCTTTTGGTCTCTGTCTGTGTGTCTCTGCGTGTCTATCTCAGTGTGTCTGTCTCTGCGTGTCTGTCTTTGTGTCTCTCTCTATCTCTCTCTGTCTCTGTCTGTCTCTCTCTCTCTCTCTGTGTCTTTGTGCGTCTCTGTGTGTTTCTGTGTGTGTGTCTGTACGTGTCCGTGTGTCTCTGTGTCTGTTTGTGTGTGTGTGTCTGTGTGTGTGTCTGCGTGTGTCATTCTCTGTGTGTGTGTCTGTGTGTGTCTATCTATCTCTGTGTGTGTGTCTGTTTTTTCCCCTACGCCCCTTTTCTAATAAAAGTGTCGCGCGCGCTGGGTTATGGCTATTGTTAGACATAACGGCCTTCGAGAGGGTCTTTGTGTGAGAAGAAACCTGCGCATGCAGTCTGTTGCACAAAAACTCATGGAAAAAGAAAACGTGGGAAGCTGAAGCCATGTGAGCTCAGGTTGGCATTAGCTCCAGCGTCAAAAGCTATACGGGCTGGACTGGGTGAAAAGTGCTTTGTTCTTTTTTTTGTGGCTTCTTTTCGTGGCCTCCCATATTTTCAACCAGCCAGTCCGTCTGATAATTGACTACAATTGTCTCAGCATCATTAGGATGACAGGCAATCTTTCGGATCTGAGCATTCGGATGTTTCCATTTCATTGGGCTCGACCCACGTAGGGAGTTGGCCCAGGCGCAACATGTCAGCCAGTAAAGAGACAAATGCAGTGGGCAAAAAGATGGACATGTCAAATAAGACCGCAGTTGGTGAGCTGTGCAACACGTGGATTATGCTGATTATGGAATCTGTGCCGGCCATCGCAGGCGTATTCCAAGGTGTCTGTGAAACATACTTCTTGGCCAAAATGGCATTCATGGCTTGGTTTTGGTATCTTTTTTCAACCCGGCCGACGTTGGGAGTGGGCCATGTGCAATGTTCGGACGCACAGTGGCCAGACAAACTGATGGCATGGAGTCAGTCTGACATACCTGATTGACAAAAGCCCTGAACAAGCTCAGCGTGGCCAAAATGGCCTTGTGTGATATTCATGTTCCCCCACCACAACCTCGATCGGCTTCAGTGCTTTCGGATAATGCTGCTCCCAATTTGCATGTTCCCCCGCCGCGACCTCGTTCGGCTTCGGTGATTTCAGATAGTGCTGGCCAGTTATTCGCTCGTGACCAATTAGATGTGACCGCCAAAGCTGCACCTGCTAGCCGTCCAAATCAACGAGATCAAACTCCTTGTAGTCAGACATCACGACGTCATAGGCCAGCTAGGTCTCCTCTTCCTCCTCCTCTTCGGCCACCAGTGGCAGACAGATTCAATGCATTTCCGGACACCCCGTTCAATCGGAAGAAACAAGACATAGTCAAGATTTTTCAGACAAGCCTAGTTCGGAGGCATTCTTGGAGTATCTAGCCACCCTGTTGGCAAGAGCGGAACTTCGCAGTACGGATCTAGGATCCCTCAAACACGTGGACTATGACCCGTCATATTACGGTCAACCTGACCAAGACAAGATCCGATTTTATATTTTACCGATCCCAACTTTGAAGTCTCGTGCCGGACACGGTGACGATATTCCACCACAAGTCAGCAGAGCCGCTCCGGATCGATCAATCACAGAGATCGCTCATGTAGCTTTTGTACATGCTACTGCTAGATCTAATTTTGTTCAGATCTTAAAAGAGAGCAAACTTGCGGCATCAAAACTTCATCATTCTGATTCTGAATCCTTTTTTGCCCAAGCACATAAGTTGTCATACACTGAGTATGACAACGAGGAGACAGCCCGTATTGCACATACGGCCTGGAATCTAGCCAAGAATGAAGGCCGTGTGCTGCTACTTGGTCTAGCATGGGGCACAGCGGAGACGGTCCACCTGGGAGGAGAGGGACGATGCATCGAGCTCACAAAAGGCCCTCAAGGGGGCTGTGTCCATCACAAGAACGGACGCATGTCGGTCATAGCCACCCGCTCTCATTTTTTGAAAGCAGTGGTGTGGCGATCTGATGCTCAACAACCTTCTTCGCCGTTTGGATGGTTTATTTGTCCCTCCTTTCTACTTCGGTTGGTTTTCCTTCTTTGTTGATACTGTAGCCTGTTTTTCAATTGCAGTCCAGCTCCGCTCAGCAGTAATTCATCTTTTGCGACTGTGAAACAGTTGTCTGGATCCGAACACCTTTTGATCCACTCTTCCGAAAGAAAAAAACAGGACACCTTTGCTGCGTTCAGGACGTGTCCATGTAGTTATGCCCTGTCTATTGCGTTGAATTCGATGTTGATCTTCAAATTCGTACTATTCTGTTGCGCGGCGTTTGATTATTGTGAAGTTGATTACTGTGAATTTGTGGTTTGGGCCTGATTGTTGTTTTCTGTGATTTTACTTTTCGAAATAGTGCCTAAACAGGCAATATGTTGAAGTAAATCTGATATTTGACTGAACGCCATAATGGCTCAGATCATCACTTCGATCTTGCCAACCGATTTTCTTTCACCGATGGCTCGATCTTGGTCTCATCATCACTGGAATAATTTGGAGGACAATTCATACTCCTCATGGCAATCCCATTCTCAGGCTCCTCAGTCGTTCTCTCCTTCCTTTGCTCCGGATATCCCAGGAGAGAGACGGATGTGCACTATGATGAGACTTGTTTGCACGGCTATCCATTGTTTAAAACTATTCAACCGACGGCTTGGTCTCGAAAACGAGACCTCCATGGTATGGATCCCATGCAAGCACCATTGGCAGCATTGTGCAGGTACCAATCCCAGGAATTCGCTTTACGACCATTTTCTGCCAGTCGATTTCTGGGAGTTGTTCCCACACGCACAGTCGCAAAGTCAGTTCTCTGCAGTCAATTTTTGAAGGCTGTGTGCGAACAAGCTGTTGATATTGATGGCATTGCGGAACATTTGCACCGCACACAAGCTCCATCACGTTTAATTCTGTCTAAGGTAGATACACCCATTCAGTTTATGCAACCTGTTGTTACGGAACTGATCAATCGACTGAAGGGTATCCAACCTCAACAAGCTGATACCTCAGCAGTTCGTCGATTACAAAGCGTTCAAGCTGAATTGGCCCACGCCAAGCAACAGTTGGCTGAAGCTGGCATAAGCCTGGAATCAGCACGTGCTCATGCTGCCGACAACGCTCCGGAATTCAAAACCCCAACAGCCAAACCGCTGGGGCGCGATCCGGGGACGAAACGTCCACCAACGTCCAAAGCGTCACAGTTGGGTGCTTCGCCTAAGTAATGTTCTCGTGGTTCTGTTGTTGCTTCTCAAGTTGTTGCTCCCAAATCAAATGCTACATTGGACACTTTTTGGAACTCCGCTTCGCCGGCGGGAACAAGTGCTTCGCACAAGGGTGACGCAGCAGGTGAGGATATTCCACCTGGCCAGAAGGACGCCAGGACCCCCACGACATTGATGAGGAGGTCAAACCTGAAGTCATCACGGCGTCAGAAATCCTTGATTCCTCAGCAGAGATTTTACAGAATTATCCGCTAGGAGGCACATCAGACACTACAGTCAAGCGCTGGTTTTCGAGTTTTCCTGCTGAAGCAACACAACTGGCCTCTAAGTTTGCTTCTGTGTTAAATGATGCTAGTATTCCAAAACCCAAGTTGCAGGAAGCAGCCATCAAATATGGTCTGCCCATTGAGTTAGCTTTCAAGTCAAGTTACCTCCTCGCTGCCTAAACCAAATTGTGTCAGTTGCAGCAGCATTAACAGCTTGACTAGCCATGGATCGCGAGTCAATTTTTCAAGTTTGTATCGATTCTGCGCCAATTTTTTCAAGAGTACATCCATGAACTTCAGAATGTTCCAAAGACAGTGGCAATGTGGGCTTTGAGTTTGTTGCAGGTTGTGTTGCTTTGCTATTATTCTGCCCCCACTTTGGAGTCACGCAAGTGACGCAACAGACTGCACTTTTTGAAAATCAATCCATCTATGTACAGCTACCTGTTTTTTCAGAGTCAGTGTGCAGTGTATGTTAAGTTGCCTTTCCATGCACCTGATTCCCCGCATTTTGGGTACACTCAACATTGCCATTTTTATGTTGAATCTACCGCAGTGTCTGTCGCAAATGAGATTTCACTCGACAGGCCAAATTCAAACAACTCCGTAACGGGCAGGCAGTCCATGTGGAACTTTCAATTCGGTATTGGAGCTCCAGCGGAAATTTTAATATTTATAATACCATCGTTCTGGAAGCTCATACCACATATGACCATGCCTGGGTTCGAGAACACTGCCTAATCAGTTATTGGCAACCAGCTCTGAGGATGGAAGTTCCAGTTTAAATCGAATCGTAACACTCCAGTCAAACTCGGCCCACGATTGTTTCAAAGGCTGAGACGACGTTTGAAGGAGGTGGGATCCGTACCTAGTCAACATTCTCATCAGCAGAATGCCTGGCAACTGCTGTACAGTCTCAGTCTCTTTACGCGTGTGAGCTATGAGACTTGCCAGCGCATAAGATCCGGTGAATTCGACACTCTTGAGGTGTATGCACTGTATCGATTAGCTGCACATATGGAAGAACCCGGCAGATCCCGTGTCCGCAGTTTAATCTCAAAAGCTTTGCAGTTTCGAAACGCAACTGTACCTAAGAAGAACTTACCGTTTTCTCTTCCTTTTCTGGCGCATTCTGATTTTAAACAGCAGGTTCAGTTATCGCTGAGACAAGTAGTGATTCGATCAAAGGAATTGGCTATTCCATTTTTTCTGCCTACTCATCGAATTCGTGAAGCTGCTCATCTTACCCTTCGACAATTTTTGCATAATCACCGCAAAGTTGAACGTCGGTGGATGACTTCAAACATTGATTCATTACCATGCTGTTGCGAAGAGCTTCGCAAAATGATGACCTGCCCAACTTCTGAGTTACAACATTTAGCAGTGAATTTAGAAGATCTCAGACTTCTAGCCAAACTCAAATTGTTTCAAAATGTTAATGCAAACTCTACATATTTCGCAGCCAAGCCACCATATTTTGAATTGACTATTGGCGCATTTCGGAGGTGGTTGAAACACCATGGCCTCCGAGCAGAATTAGCTGAAGATTTTTCTCAATTTTTGTCTCAACAATGGAAGCAACACCTTGATGAACTCGAATCGACTCCGCGATTGTCTTTCCATCTTGTTCAACATCTTCTTCGTGTTCTCCCTCGGGACCTCGGGATTCGGTGATTCACCACGGTGATCATGAACAATTTCGAACCACCATTTTTTGTCCAAAGTTGTACTGTCAAGGTGCGCTGAACACGTGGTCTGACATAGACCTGTTTGAAAGACTCGACTACACTGGCCAACAAGCTCGAGTTGCTATCACTTCAGCGTTTCCGCTTTATTTGCTGAAACGGTACCCATGGGGTTTTCGTAAGCAAGCTGCTTTACCCTATGGTTTCGTTTTTCTGAAACGCAAAAAACAGTCGACAAAAGGTCGCACACTGATCAGTTATTTTCAGAGCTACCAGGCCAATCTGCTCAAAGCTGTCAGCAGGGCATTGGATTCCATGCTGCAGCAGATGCGGCCCCAGATCATGGGACAATTGAACACTCCAGCCATCTGGGCTCGATTACATCGATACTTTGAAGATGTTCACACGGATATTACCTTGACTCTTGTAAATCATGACCTAGTGGGTGTTTTCAATTCAGTGCCTCAAGAACGACTATTGGATGCCGTCAATCAATTGGTCGACGCATGGACTGTTGAACATTTACTTCATTTTCCCGATCTTCAATCGGTCACCATAACTGTGGATATCAGTGCAAAAGGTGACCCGACTCAATCGACATTTTCAGGCTCGTATCGAAAATCTGCCTACAATCTCAAGAAGATTTATGTACAGGACATTTTGACAGTAGTTCGCTCCAGCCTCTCCTCCCATATCTTCTCTGCCCTTGGATGTTTTTGGAAACAAATTCGTGGTGCAGGCATTGGCAGTCAAATTTCTCCGTCGTTTTCGAATCTTGCTGTAACTATTGTGGAACGTACATGGCAGCAAATCGATCTGGAAACTCTCGATCAACCTCGCTTTGCATTTTTCGGTATTCGATATGTCAATAACAGGTTTATTATTGCCACTGAAGAAGCAGAGCTTCACCCTGGATTTCTCATGCTGCGCGATTTGGATTTTTACGGTCATCCTGTTGAGCTTGAGGTCGTTGATGATGACTTGCTTGTGGGTTTTTCTGTTGATGTGCACCAAAGAACTGTGCAATATAGACAACCTGACTTGCGCCAAATTCGAGATTGTGTATCAGCGGGATCGGTCCGTCTCAGAATGAGTGGACTAAAAAGCCGGGCCCATCTAATTCGCAAATACACCTACCCACAGGATCTGATTTCTGCCAGTCTTTTTGCGCTAGCCAATCTTTATGTACAGAAAAGTTTTGCTCGGCAAGACGTGTTCTCCGCTCTCCGCATGTAAATCTATGTACAGCACTTACGGAACCATTACCTTGGCGACAAAACGGCCTTCGTGTGTGGGGTCACACTCTGTTTCTAAGGGTTAGTCGAAGTAGTTGATCCTTTCCGAACAGGTTTCATAGTAGCAGGGGGGCTGGTTGTCCATGCAAGTACCAGCCCAAGGAAGAGACTTGCATGCGACACTGATATCACTGGAGACGTCCAGTGACGTACCTGCCATTTTTTGATTTCAATCTGTCGGTATGGCAAGGGGCTAAGCCAAGAACCCCAAAACAAGAATTATTTCTGTCATTTTACAATACCATTTTTGAATCAGTGACTTATCACGCGGCGCAAGGCCTTTCTGGGATTTCATTACCAGATGTCATAGAATTGACAAGAAAGACAAACATGCTCGATGGACCAATCAGGACTCCATACGACATACGGTCTTTCAAGTGTGTGTGTGTGTGTCTGTGTGTCTGTGTGTCTGTGTGTCTGTGTGTGTCTCTTGTGTGAGATGTTGCTAGCTATGGGTCACCTCATTCTGACCAAAGCTGAAGCATTTGGGGATACCGGGATACCCCAAATGTATAGCAAAAAAATGCAGAATGAATAAACATGACTAAACATGGTTGCCATATATTTCACGTTTCCATGCATCCTTCCAAGGCCCTGGCCACTGCCAGCAAATCATGATCAGCGCCAAGTTGACGCAGGGTGCCAGCGATTTCGGCCAGTACCTGGCGACAGACGCTGGACGTCTTCTGAACTTGAAACCCTGAAACTGTGTTGCTACTCTTGGAATATGTCTGACTGCAACTGACTCCATGATTGGTAAGTTCAAACTTTGATTCACTATGCTTCCTGGTTGAACTGTGAAACATTTGGCCCAGACCACCAGGCTACAAATGGCTGCGGTCTGGTGTCGGGTCACGTCAAAAATGTGGCATGCTCATCGGGTAGATTAATTGGAAGCACAACAACACGGCTTCTTCAGGCTTCTCGCCACCCCAACAGGTGGCGAAATTGTCCTGGAGCTTGCCAGGGACGACGCCAAGATACGCCCAGACATGCCCAGACACACACACACACACACGCATACCGTCGGCGGCAATTGTCTTTTTTGAACGAGCGACAGCGGTATGGAGTATGAGAAGTGCGGAGATGCCGATTTCACAACCATGGTGCTGCCAAACGCTTGTCTGCGCAGACAAAGCCCAAGTGTTTAGCCGTTCAAACGCTCCTCAAGTCCTTAGGCATTCCTTGGGCCTTGGTCAAAAAAGGGGAGCAAAAATTGGCAAAAGAGATGGAGGAATGGCAAGTGCACTTTTGCAGAGTAAGATTTTGTACTGGCATAGTTTGATCAAGTGGCACTGTTCGTACGTCTTTCAACAATATTGACAGCCTGACCGGCAAACATGAAGAGTCGTCTACAGAGAATCTACAGTACATGTTGCACAAAATGCCTCAGCCTGCAAGATTCCTGGAGCTGACTTAGGACCGCAATGCCCAACATGATGCTGTTGGAATAACTAGTGCATCAAACCGTTCGGTTCACCAAATGGGCTTAGAGATAGAATCTGAATACTGCAAGGGCCTGCTAGCACCAATGGAGCAAAATTTCCACATCACCTTGAACTTCCGAAAGCTGGCTGTTATCCACTGATTCAGCAGTGATCGCAGATTGGGCTACGCCGTCTTAAGATATACAATCTCGGGCATGGAATTGTCTCCAACAATAACATTCTGACAGCATGACCAGAAATCAGACAAATGTGATGATGAATGGTGATGGTACAAATGGATAAAAATGGCATGTTGAATGTTTTAAACTGTTCGGAGGCGGCCGAATTCATCCATGTTTGGAAGATTGGCGAACTATGCTGGTGTATTGTGTGACTGACCAAACCGCCAATCGGAGATGTATGATTTTTGCCCTTGCTGTCGGTGCACATGAGTAATTAACCCTTTAGCCAATGGTCTATCATATCATGCATATGACAGGATGTGGTCTTTCATACCGATCACAGGCAGAATCAGTAGAATCCTCGGAAAGCTAAACCGGCAAACAATTATGATATGTATTCAATTCAAATGACACCACACGCATACACGCGCACTGATGCCATAAAAACGCACGCTCTGCGTGCGAAAAGCAGCAGAACGGAGTCACATAGATTAACCAGGGTGCAGAATGATGCCTCAAACTTGCTGCGTTGGGGCACAGCAAATTCCAAAGATTTGTTGAAGTGCAAATGATATCTATATATAAGCATTCTTATATTATCTTGTATTTACCACTAGTACCGCACAAGGCGGTGGCGGAAGTTTCAAAAATAGGAAACCTATAGGAGAGATTGGTTGTTGTGAATCAGGGATGGCAGAGCGAATCCACTGATGGACCAAAAGGTGCTTGAGGTCTCCTCTCTTTCTCTCCCTTTCTCTGACTATCTACCTACCTACCTATCTATCTTCTATCTATCTGTCTATCTATCTATCGATCGATCTATCTCTCTCTCTCTCTCTTTCATCTAATTACCTATCTATCTATCTATCTATCTATCTATCTCTCTCTCTCTTTCATCTGTCTATCTGTCTAGCTGTCTACCTGTCTATCTGTCTGTCTATCTATCTGTCTATCTGTCTACCTGTCTATCTGTGGTGCAGTGTCATTCAGTGTAACGTAGTGTAGTGTAATGTAGTGTAGCGTAAAGGAATGTAGTGTAGTGTAGTGCAATGCTGTGTAGTGTAATTTGGTGTAGTGGAGTGTAGTGGAGTGTAGTTGTGTAGTCGTAGTTGTAGTTGTAGTGGAGTGTAGTGTAAAGTAGTGATTTGTAGTGGAAGGTAGTGTAGTGTAGTGTAATGTAGTGTAGTGTAGCGGTGTGTAGTGTAGTGTAGTGTAGTGTAGTGTAGTGTAGTGTAGTGTAGTGTGGTGTGGTGTGGTGTGGTGTGGTGTGGTGTGGTGTAGTGTAATTTAGTGTAGTGGAGTGTAGTTGTGTAGTTGTAGTTGTAGTTGTAGTATAGTGGAGTGTAGTGTAGTGTAATGTAGTGAAGTGTAGTGGAAGGTAGTGTAGTGTAGTGTAATGTAGTGTAGTGTAGTGAAGCGAAGGGAAGCGACATCTGAACCTCCAAAAGTGGTCCGAACCCCTGGTGCTTTTAACATTTTGACTTCGAAATGTGCTTCGCCCCACAACAGCGTGCACTTTTTCGACATCCCAACTTCCAAAAGTGGTCCGACACTGAGGTGTCTTATACATGTTGACTTCGAAATATGCTTCGCGCCACAACGGCGTGCACTTTTTCGACATCTCAACTTCCAAAAGTGGTCCGAACCTGGTGTGTTTTGTGCATTTTGACTTCGAAACATGCTTCGCGCCACAACGGCGTGCACTTTTTCGACATCTCAACTTCCAAAAGTGGTCCGAACCTGGTGTGTTTTGTGCATTTTGACTTCGAAATATGCTTCGCGCCACAACGGCGTGCGCTTTTTCGACATCTCAACTTGCAAAAGTGGTCCGAACCTGGTGTGTTGTGCTTCGCGCCACAACGGCGTGCACTTTTTCGACATCTCAACTTCCAAAAGTGGTCCGAGCATGGTGTGTTTTGTACATTTTGACTTGGAAATGTGCTTCGCGCCACAACGGCGTGCAATTTTTCATCTCTCATCTGGCCAGCTGGCTCCGCACCCGCCTCTTTAGCGAGCCTACTTTTCGACCATCCGGAGCCTCAAATCATTGGAAAAACACAGTGTTTCGCGACTTTCCTACCTTTTCGCGCATCTGCATCCTTCTGACTCTTTCTCTTCTCTGATCTTCTCTCTTCTAATCTTGCTCTTCTCTCTGCCTCTGCCCTGCTCTGCTTTTAATCTCTCCATATTGTCGGAAGTTTGACTTCTAAACTTCCTTCGATCATATGCAGTGCATATGCGCAAATTGTTCAATAACGAGGCTGTGGTGTGATTGTTTGACTGGCGTCTCAGAATGCTGTCGTGGTGTTTGGCCCTGTCATCCTTTGGCCTAAATCTATGTATCCTATTGCAATTTATCACGTGCGGCATGTGCCTAATATATATAGAATTATATAGATACATATGAACGCCAGCCTGAGGACTTGTCTGCACGGCTATCAAACAGAACCAACAACATTCTTATTACCAAGAATTCCCGATGCTCCTTCAGACATGGTTACGAGGAATTCATGACAAGTGATTGCCCATCATGAATCATTCAATAATCTCTCAGCCTGTTGAACCCATCAATCTGCTAGTGTTTCTCTGGCCAGACTGCGGGCAGCAAGATCTACCTGTGACCCTGGTCCGAAATGGTGCGACACGGCGCATGGATGCGCATGGTCAATCGGTCTTCAACCGACAGACCCAGGCATCTGTGCTGCTAATAGCTGCATCATGGATTTCCGAACCTTCCTGGGGACACCGATGTTGGGACGGTCCTATCGAGGAAGATGAATATGAGATGAGATGAGATGAGATGACATGAGATAGTCTGATATGATATAGTATTATATAGTTTGACAAGGTATGATATGATCTAGTATGATAGAGTATGATCTAGTATGATAGAGTATGATCTAGTATGATATAGTTTGATCTAGTATGATATGGTGTGATATAATAGAGTATGATATAGTATGATAGAGCATGAAATAGTATAATATAGTACGAGATGATCTAGAATAAAGTATGATATGGTATGATATGATCTAGTATGACATAGTATGATATGGTATGATATCATATAGGATAAAGTATGATATGGCATGATATCATAAAGTATAATATAGTATGATATGGTACGATATCTTAAAAGATGATATAGTTTGACATGGTATGATATGGTCTAGTATGATTTAGTATGACAGTCAAGTATGACATGGTATGATATCTCAGGCCCTGCCACGCAGCACGCAGAATGCTGCGTTCGGCACGCGTGTTCGGTACGCGGGCCGGCGCGCAGGGACGTTTATGATAATTTGCGGGGGAAAAATATGTTGTATGCATTTAAGGGCTAAAAGATCCTAAAAGAATATGCACAGAAGAAGTGGCTTCAACCGGAAAACCACGAAGAATCCCTGATGCTTTTTTGGGGCGGTTTTCAGAGCATTTGGGCAAAGGTGCCGAAATAGGCCCGTCCCTACTACCTAGCTCATCTTTTCCTTTCGATTTTTGCATCAGCTTTCGTCGTCTGACGTTACGGGGACCTTGCCACATGCAATTTGCCAGCCCCAAAAAAGCATTTAGGCTGTTTCCGGGTGTAATTTGGCTGCTGATTTGTTCTAAATGCATCTAGACCTGTGGGTCGGCACTCAGGCATCTAAGGGTATAATGTAATATCGTATGATCTAGTATGATATAGTATGATCTAGTATGATATGGTATGATATGATCTAGTATGATATAGTGTGACCTGGTATGGTAGAATATAGTATGATATAGTATGATATGGTATGATATCATATAGAATGATATAGTATGATACTGTATGATCTGGTATGATACCATATAGCATAATATAGTACGATATGGTATGATATGATCTAGAACGATATAGTATGATATGTATGATATCATATAGTATGATATAGTATGATATGGTATGAAATCATATAGTATAATATAGTATGACAAGGTATGATATGATCTAGTACGATAGAGGAGGATCTAGTATGATACAGTATGATCTAATATGTAATATAGTATGATCTAGTATGATATGGTATGATA